CATCCAGCTGTGAAAAGCCAATAAACTTCTCCAGGAGACCAGCTTCACTTATGTTCAGTGACCGGCAAGGGCGTAGGAATATGTTTACAATTGGGGGGGACACATGTCGGAAATCTGAGATTCGTAAATATTCAACAGAAACATATCTTAAGTACGCTACTTAAAAAAAAGGCTATTTAATCTTTTACTTTATTCCTTTATAAATGTGCTTGTAAAAATAATGCATTTAAAATTTACATAATGCATTTGTTCATAAGATGTGAGCATATCACCAAACAAAATGACTGGAGTCTTTTATTAAGCAAAGGGAGATGTCTTTCAAGGGCTTCAGCCCTTGGCATATTTAGTGTCCGCATACGCACTAGAAAATCAAAACAATTCAGTAGGCCACACAAGTGCAAAGTTTGATATGTTTTATTTTGTCAAACTTGCAATAATGGTCAAAAATGAATTTATATAGGTTGACTGACAGAGGGAGCTGACAGTGTGTTGAAGAATTATGGACAGGGCGCTTTGAAGCATCTGGTTCAAAAACGCATTCTAAATCTTTGGTAGAAATCCATCCATCCTTCCATTTTCTGTACACCCTGTCCCTTAGTGGGGTCGGGAGGTGTTGGTGCGCCAGTCTGTCCAGACCTTTGGTAGAAATGGCGCCTTTAATTCCAATTTGCAGTACAGAACAGAGAAAACTACAGAGTTGTCAATGTTGTGTTAATCTGTTATAGTCTAAAAAGAGGAGCCAGCAGTTTGAGGAAATAAAGGTGCAGAAGTTAATTAGTTGGTTAATTAGTGGTTGCACAACCAATGCGACCGCCGCTGCTAAGAATTAAAATTAATTCTCCCTCTGGTTAACTAACGATCAGGAGCGCGGCAGGTATAACATCTGTCCCATTTCAGCGAATCAAAACCACGCAAAAAATAAAAAATCCTCGTAAAACGCACGCCCAGACCAGGCTAATTTCAACACAAGTTGTGTTAGGTGACTGTTACTCACACTGACGTTTCTCTTTTAAAAAAAATCTGAGTAAGTCCTACTGCTGTTTCAGCCTTTTAGTTGGTGGTGGCATTGTACTGAAATGAGATATAAAAAAATATATATAAAAAAAACATTTTGGCTAGCGTGGCAAACGTCTAGAGAAAGTTAGCAGTTAAATATTGGATGAGTGATCAGACCAAGACTACGGAAGAGGATTAGGGCCACTGGAAAAAAAAAAGTTAAGTGATTTTTACATTTTATTTCAGTTTAATACGGGAAAAAAGTCAGAATTCTGACTTTTATTTTCAGAATTAAGACTTTTTTTTCTCAGAATTTTGGATCTTAATGTAGATGGACACCATGAAGGCAGAGATGTGGAGCACTCAGCTTCACTGACAAAGATGTGAGTTGTTTGAGAGGGCCAGTGACACACTGGTGGAAAATGACAGAATTAGGGGAAAATGACAGAATTAGGCAACTTTTTACGTGCCCGAGGGGTCCCCTCATTAATGGAGGAGCAGAAGGTCATTAAAACAAGAGAGCTAGTCTCTAAAACAGACATGGCTATGGCTTGATGCTAACATGTTTGTTGTTAAACATACTTTTGTTATATTACATTTGTGTTGTGTTTTCCAAATAGTGTAGAAAATTAATGGTGGGTTTATAATGTTTACCTTTTATGAGCAGGACAGGAAGCAGAGAAGTGTAGCATTACCTCCAACTAGTTAAACTCATAATTATGAAGTTATTCAACAAATTCCTCAAGTAAAAAAGTGCAACTTTTTTATTTATTTATTTTTTTTTTTTACCAGATTTGTGGATTAATTTCAAAATTATGTATTCCTTCCAAATTTCCAAATCTGAAGAATTTTTTAAACCAATATCTACATTATTTAACATTTGGTTTATGTTTTAGCAGTACTTCCTGTTATATTTCTTTATACGTATATTTTACATTTTCTTGCACAGCAAGCTCAGCAGATTTGAAATTGTGTGCTTGTGTAAACACAAGTAGTCAATCTTTACTCTAAACATATATTCTGGTTATTTTTTAGGTAGACCTTCTTGTTTTTATGTATCTGTATAGTCCCCCCTCCCCCCACCAAAAAAACTGTAAACTGATTAGAAATATTAATCATCTGTCAGATTTCTGAGAAAAAAGTCAGAATTCTGAGATTAAAGTCAGAAATCTGACTTTTCCCCCAATGTTAAACTAAAAAAACATTTAAAAATCAGTTAACGTTTTTCAGTGGCCCTAATCCTCTTCCTACAAGTCTAAGATGCCTAAACCAAAAAGATTCAGTTTCTATATATGAAAGTGAACTCACAACAAGACGTTATAAATAGGAAATATTCATAGCAGCATTCCCGACAGACCATTTTACCTCATTCACAAGTTTCTGACTTTCTGTATCGCTGTTTCCCTCTGAGTGCTCAAACACTCAACAGTTCACAGAGGGGAGGGGGAGTACAGTGATGTAACGCTATGCTGCGCCTTCAAAATAAAAGCACGATAGTTAAAAAATTGTCAAAATCTAATATTTTGCGGTACAATTTTTGGGGGGGACATATCCACCTGGCTTTTATATTGGGGGGGACATGTCCCCCCCGTCCCCCCCGCTTCCTACGCCGCTGGTGACCGGTGATGTGTTTGTGTGGATTTTGCGTCGTCTCTACAGAATTTCTCCTGTTATTTTTCAAACTAGTGCTTTGATAATTCTTCGTCTATATTTTAAGGTGTGTATTTGAACAGCTGCATTTCTTAGATTTTACTAGTAAAGTGAGAACTTTGATTCAAAGTGAGGACATATTTCTGCTATTCACTTTTTTTTCTTTGAGCTAGATGTTAGGTTTAAGAATATTTAGTGAACTAGGCAAAAATAAATTCATAAATAATTTTTAAAAAGGAATTCAGTACAAGGTCCCCAGTAAGTACAGTGGGGAGCACAAGTATTTGATACACTGTTGATTTTTCAGGTTTTCCCACTTGCAAAGCTTGTAGAAGACTGTAATTTTTATTTAGGTACTCTTCAACTGTGAGCGATGGAATCTAAAACAAAAATCCAGAAAAATACAATGTATGATTTTTAGATAATTACTTTCCATTTTATTGTGTGAAATAAGTATTTGATACACCAGAACAATGAAACTTAATATTTGGTACAGAAACCTTTGTTTGCAATTACAGAGATCAGACGTTTCCTGTAGTTCTTGACCAGGTTTGCACACACTGCAGCAGGGATTTTGGCCCACTCCTCCATACAGATCTCCTCCAGAGCCTTCAGGTTTCGGGGCTGTCGCTGGGCCACATGGACTTTAAGCTCCCACCAAAGATTTTCTATTGGATTCTATTTTCTATTGCAAAATCAACAGTGTATCAAATACTTGTTCTCCCCACTGTATTTTAAATATTGGTATGTGTGAGGCCGCAGATCCAAAGCTCTACTGTACATCTGTTATGTTTTGTTTTTTGTTTAAAAAAAATGTTTTGAACTTTACCACTTTCTGTCTCACCTTGGGTCCATCTGCCCCCTTTTTATGACAGTTAAATGACTGAATTGTAAATTCTTGGAAGCTGAAACTGCAATCCTCCACCTCTGTTCAGTGATGGCTTTTTCTCTTTTCACAAAGATGACTCCTTTGACGCCTCTTTCAAAACATTTGTCCTCCCTGTACAAAATCTGAACACTTTTGTCTTCAGTGGTGTGTCCTTTCTTCTTAAGGTGTGAGTGGACAGCTGAATCTTGCCCAGAGCGAATGGCTCTCCTATACTGTGCCATATTATTGTGTAATTGTTGTTTGGTTTCTCTAATTTAGAAGGCTGTACAGTCCTCACAGCACTGGATCACATACACAACACCCCTCAGCTTAGGTTCGGGTGTTCTGTCTTTATCTCTTGACAAGTTTTAGTTGTACACCTGCACCCCAAGAACCAACATTTTATTTCTCACCTTGCATGTTTCAAACCATTTTGCATCTGCATTTTATTACCACTTTACCTTTTTCATTTAGCATTTCTGTGACCTTTCTGGTCCCTGTGCATTTCCCAAAAGTTTTCCTTTTTCACTTAGCTTTTGTGTGACTGTTCTGATCCCTAAACACACTGAAAACCAAGTTAAACTTATCTTAGAGGAACTTCTGGTTACATCCAGAAAGATTGTTTCACAAATCGCTGCCTATGAATTCCATTTTAAAAAGGGATTTTAAAACGCAACATAAAACAGAAAATGCATGCGGAAAAAGGAAATTACCTTTTTAAGTGTTTGTTAAGGAAAGTTATCTATAATCAGATTATGGTTTTTAATTCTCCATCTAGAAATAGGATTTAAAAATACGTCTTCAAATTGCAGTATTTTATAATAAAGTAATATATATAAAACACCCTTTTTTATAAATGCACTACTATGAAAACTTTACAAATAGTTTACATTTTAAATGTATGATTTAAATGTTATATTAGAGATGATTGAATTACTCTTTTAGTGACTCTCCTGGTCCTCCATTCCTGAAGGGTTTTAATAAATTCTGGTCAGATTTTTTTTTTTTATATCCATGGTTGTTCTGTAGTTACAAACATAGTTTTAACCCTATAATGCCAAATGTATCATATTTGATACATACGGTTTCTGAAATGTTTTGCATCTGACACCTTTTGCATAATTTAATGGTAAAAACTTTGCTCAAAATCATGTTGTACACAATCAGATATACCTGATAACAGCCAGTAGAAGACTACACAAAAAATAATCTTGACTTATCGCATAGTAATAAATTATTACGGTAACATCAAAAATGTATTTCTGTTTTTTCTTTTTACATATTTTGTTCAAAGGGAAAATAAGGTATTCAAACCAAAAGAAAGTAATTTTCTGTTTTGTTTTATTCTTGGGTCGGGCTTTAAAGGGTTAAATGATTCATGATGGCATAAACGTATCCTAATTAACCTTGAGTGCGTTCTTAAGTTTCTCCTTGGCCTTATTCTGAGAGCCCGGAATCCTATGTTGTTGTTTTTTTTTCTCTGCAGCCGAGCCGCTGGATGGAGAGGAGTACCTGGACATTATAGGCATCATGAGAAACCAAGCGGGTCGGTATGAATGCAAAGCCAGCAACGACGTCGCCACACCTGATGTCAAATACGTCAACGTGGTCGTAAACTGTACGTAGCACATGCTCTATACACGTAATGTCTACAGTTATTGAAAATGACACACAGAATATGAAAGCCCATAAAAGTGATCAAAGGATGTGAAGTAAAGCTAGGCGTGGACTGGAGGTGTCTTCCACTTTTGGGAGATTTGGTGTGTGAGGCGGAGAGTGGAGATTTCTTGCACTGATTGCTGCTATTACTTCCATGTCAGGTTTCACCCACCACATCATCCTTTAAATAGACACTTAGAATTTCAAAAGAGGATAATTACATCCTTTCAGGGGTCTATATTATACAGATTTTGACTCTTCGGGGTTTGATAGACAGCTCATGAGACATCACTAAACTAATTACTCCTCAAGGTATTCAGAAATTCTCTTTGATCTGAACAAATCATGTGTGGCTGTTTGCCCAAACCGTACTTACGCCAGGTCTGGGTGCCAGATAGGAGCACATAAGCTTTCTTTTAGAATTGAATCATAAATGGAAGATGGGCATAAATCCATTTGGGAGGTTTCTCTAGCCATTGTTTGTAAGGATGTGTGCGGGTGTGTTTGATGAATATTAATGTATCTGTTAAAAGAGGCCGTATCTTTTGAAACCTTAATAATCTGTTCTGCTTTCGCTGATGTGTGAATTTGATGAGTTAAAACTTTATTTCAGCTATAAAAAAAAGATCTGCTTGGATGATCCCATAAAGAGTACTTGATCTTTTATATACTTTTAATTATGGAAATGAAGTAAAGGGAGTTTTTGCTAGTACTTTATATGAGGAGTCAGGCTATGATTCCTACGGAAGAGGATTAGGGCCACTGAAAAAAAAAAGTTAACAGATTTTTTTTATTATTTTATTTCAGTATAGTATGGGAAAAAAGTCAGAATTCTGACTTTAATCTCAGAATTCTGACTTTTTTTCTCAGAATTCTGACTGAATTCCAGAGATGGGAAGTAACGAAGTACAAATACTTCGTTACTGTACTCAAGTAGATTTTTCTGATATTTACTTTACTACTTATTTTTATGGCGACTTTTTACTTCTACTCCTTACATTTTAACACAAATATCTGTACTTTCTACTCCTTACATTTTAAAAAATTAGCTCGTTACTTTAGTTTTGAATCATTTCAATGGAGTTACCGTTATTATTTTTCACGTCATCAATACCAAATTCAATCTAATTGGATGGGAATCTACGTTGCATTTGACGCACCACTACAAGATGAATCGACAGATTCGGCGGTATTCATTGGCGGCAAATCATTGCAGCTTGGTGGCGGTGGTGTTAGCATAGTAGCATGGATGACGAGATGATTGAAAATGAACACAACAGAGATCTAGTCCTATTGGCAGACATCCATTTAAAATGTAGGCAACGGCATGAAAAAAGTTTCTACTTTTACTTTTATACTTTAAGTAAATTTACAAACCTGTACTTTGTTACTTTTACTTGAGTAAAGAAGTTTAATCAGTACTTCCACTTTTACCAGAGTATTTTTTAACACAAGTACCTGTACTTTTACTCAAGTACGGAAAGTGAGTACTTTTGCCATCTCTGAATTCTGACAATAAAAAAAAAATCAGAATTCTGAGAAAAAAAGTCAGAATTCTGACTTGTTTCCCATGTTAAACTGAAATAAAATTTAAAAATCAATTAACTTTTTTTTTTCAGTGGCCCTAATCCTCTTTTGAGATTCCTTCATTGCTTTGTTATGAAACTCTTTTGACTTTAGGGAATATTCAGTAGGATAGTCTACTTGGAATAACATACTATTTTTATAAGGGGACCTAGAGCTAAGGAATAAATACCAATGTGCAGATAAAAAAAATGTGGAAAAAGTTGAATTTCTGACGTGTTCTCCTTGGATTTGCAGACCCTCCTTCAATAAGAAAAACCCAGAGTTCAGAACCACCTGTGGGCCGCCTGGGAACCCTGCAGTGTGAGGCTGCAGCTGTTCCCACACCGGAGTTCGAATGGTACAGAGACGACAAAAGGTAAAACTTCCCTTGCATCTTTATTCAGTTTTATTCTCTTTAACAGGATCTCAAACATCTTTCCAACAGAGATTCATGCGCCTAATTACCTAAGGCAATAAATCACATGAAAGTAGTGGGTTTAGGAATGGCTAAAGATAAAATCATTCTGTAAAAATGCTGCCTGTATGATTTATTATCCTTTAATACCAGTCTAAATAGTGAACTAAAATATGAAGTTTATAAAGTATGATTTATAACCAACAATAAATTTAACTGGAAACAATTCATCCCAAACAAGCATATGAAGATAGATATTTATGAGCAATTATCACTTTTATTTTCCAACCTACATTAGGTTATCTAAATCAAATTAGTTTGAATTCATCATATATTTCATATCATTTAGAACAAAAATAAGAGACAGTATTTCCCTGGGCTTTTAAGCCGATCAGAGTGAAAATTAATTAGATTGATAAAACGTATGTTAACAGCAGATTGGTATTTTAACTTTACCTCACAGAAAGATGTGTAGGAAGCTGCTGGTTCTGCTTCTGAGTTTGGCAGTCTGATACAGAACCTGGACAGAGGATAGATCCCTTACACTTTAAATCCCATCGCTTTCCTCTGTTGGGATCTCGATCCTGTGATACTGCAGCTGGAGTACCGTGCTGAGATGCAGCACATGACACGCTGCCAATTACAGCTTTGCAGAATGTTTTTAGGAGGTTGATAGGGAGAGATGTTGTTGGAAGAAGCACTACCTGCTGGGTCAATCCCTTTAGAATCTGGACTATTTAAAAGTATTGATCATCTTCAATGAAGTAGGTCCTCCTACCTCAATTAAGTCTAAAATATATCAGTCTATCCGTCTATCAATCCATCTATACATACCTTTCTTTTGTTAAAAGATACGTTTATTTTGTTTTGTTTTTTTAGAAAGAACTTTAAATCTTTGACTGTCTTCCCTAGAGATACATAAAATATTATATAGTTTGAATTTTAAATCTTTTAATTTTTACTTACAGTGAACTTTAACATTTTTGTATTAATTTACAAAATCTCTCTTATGGATGCTAACTGGGGATGTAAACAAACAACTGACTTAGTTATAATGTTTTTTGTCTATTTTATTAACCTAAAATCTGTAGTCCAGCGAACATTTATTCTGTATTTTTAAATCAGTTTGGAAGAGTTGTAGCTGTTTTTATTTATTTTGTATATATGTATTTCTAGTTGTAAAATGCTTGCTGTTGTGTTTTCTAGGTAGATAATTTTAAGATTTGTCCAAGGACAACAGATGAAAAATAGCCTTTTTAACGTACACTCTCCCTGTCAAATAAATAAATACACCTAAAGTGTCGATTCGTGGTTTATCCATTCATCTTCTCCTGCTTAGTCCTTGTCAGGGTCTTTGTGGGGCTGTTACCTATCTCCAGTTGTTAACGGGCGAGAGGCGGGGGACACCCTGGACAGGTCGCCAGTCTGTCACAGGGCAACACAGAGACAATCATCCACTTACAAACTCACACCTAAGGACAATTTAGATTGGCCAATTAACCTAACAATCATGTTTTTGGACTGTGGATGGAAGAGTACCCAGAGAGAACCCACGCACGCACAGGGAGAACATGCAAACTCCATGCAGAAAGGTTGGGTTGGGAAAAGAAAGAAAGAAAAAGAAAGGTTGGGAATCAAACTCAGAACCTTCTTGATGCAAGGCAACAGCACTACCCACTGAGTTACCATTCAGCCCTGATTAATCATTTTTTAGTGGTTGTACTGTTACCCTCATCCACTAGAGGGCACAGCCATTTCCTAAGCACTCAATAAACTCCTTAAATTATCATCTAAATAGCACCTATTCAGCTGTGCTGCAAGGTACAACACCACCAGATGCTGCACTTTACTTGAAAGGCGAGGAGGTGAAAATAGAAAATTTTATTTCCAGCCAGATTGTTGGATTACACTAAAAACAGAGAGCTAAATCACATTACATTTAAGCAAAATGGCAATTAAGAGCAACATAGCCTGTCTTTTCATGATCATTTGACATCTCTGTACATTGAAAATCACATATTGTATTCTTCTTTTTTATTCTTTAACCTAATAGGTTAGGTTATGTATTAGTTTGATTCATTCACATTCACAATAAAGTGTAAGAAAACGTTTTTTTTTGGCTAATTCAGTTAGTATTAAATACAGCTGGCACAATAAATAGTAGAAATACCATGATATTATTTATTTATCAGAACATTGTAACAAAATATTAGGCACTTCCTGTTATAAAAACTCCCTCTTGTTACAAGAGAAAAATCTGGTTTAAAAAAATGGATGCCTATCAATTAATCCTGAGCTGATTAATAAGAATATTCAACTTTAGATTGATTCATTAATCAATAACTTGCATCTCTAATGGTTACACAGCATACTTACTAGTAAAACATTTACCACCTTATCAAACACTACCTCCTGTGTTGCAACATCTTTTTTTTAAATACATACTTTTGCTGTTTTCAAGGTTAATATAACTTTCCCTCATTATGTTTCAGCATTAGCTTCAAAATATAGTAGAAGTATTTCAGAAAAAGTTAATTACTTTTCTTTTAGCCTTACATATCTTTTTGTCTCTTTGTCCTTAGCTTATAACTGGTTTTTCTTCTTCTGCTCCTCAAATCTTATGTGACAATGGAGCCGCAGTGGACCCTTTGTAATGTAGAATGATCATGAAATCACCATTGTAGTTCAATAATGACTAATAACCCACTTCGGGACTAGCTTGGCTGTTATTCTCTTAATTGAATGTTATTACTTCGGACGGAGTGGATTTTTCTGACATTCCTTATTAAAGAGACAAAGGCCAGATCATCTGTCTTGTTGTAACCAATTATTTCAGCGACTTAAAATCTCTTTTCTCATAAATCCATGAAAAAAAACCCAAATCAAGCTCCTCAAGTACCGAGCCATATTGCAGATTGTGTTACCAGCCAGATGTCCGATGGAAAGCCATCAATTCAAGTGTCGTACATGTGTCTGCAAAATACTGGAGCGGAATTGAAATGTAATGATGTTCAAAGGTAATGACATCCAAGTTTTTTCAATTCACCACTTGACTCACAGCAACCTGAAACATTTTGCTCATTCGCAGCAAACTCCCCTCCCGTGTCTGTGTGCTGGGGAAGCTTCAGCCTCAGTGGATAATAATGAAAAAAGAAATCAATGATGTGTAATTTCTCTCCTCCACCCACTGCTACGGCAGGAAAAGTTTACCAAAGATAGCGAGGAAATATTAGAGCTGTGGCACAAGTGTTATCAGAAATTTGGTCTCCAAAGTAATAGGCCTATCACGTCAGAGCCTGAAAGGAAAGATTTATGGTTGCTGAAATATTTTTGCATTATCTGTTTTTTTGCAACCTTCATTTATCTCAGTGCTTTTGTCCCCGAGAGAATCCCAGCTCTGCGCCTCTGCATGGCAACCTAGCTCCCTCCCTGCCAGTGGAAAGTGTTATTCCTCTTTCCCCTTGGATGATGATCCTAATGCTCCATAAAAATCCTATTTAGTCATGGTTGGCTTCTTAATTTTATACATCTTCTGCAGGAACCAAAGTTAATGCACTGTAGCATATTGCCTCTTCTTTACCTGATTCCAACCTGAGCTTGTGTTTGATGTCTTGCTCATGAGCTTGTGTGGTTCATTGGTTTAGCTTCGTGAACGCAGAGGTCAGCGGTAAAATTGGCATTTCAAATGCTGTTAAATGATGCTGTCAAAACTTTGTTGAAAATGAAAAGTGATAGATTTTAACGCTTAACATTTTTATTACACCCTTTGTGTTTCTATAGAGGTAGACCACTGTGTACATTTTGCTCCTATTTAATTCTATGGCCTTCAAATATTTTATCCCACTAAAATCACGTAGCCCTGATACTTGACAATAGCTATCTAGACTTAGAAATGCATAAAGCAAACTGAAAGATATAAAACTATGTGGATTTGTTAAAAAAAGGAAAAAAATTGATATGTCAATGATACAGTAAAGCTAAAAAGCTGGTGAAGATTCTCAGTCATCCAGGTCATAGTCATTCCTACAAAGTTAAGAAAAACATTGGATTTCGTTTCCTAGTTTGAAGGAGCTTCGCTTCCCATCCAGGAAGCTTTTTCAGTTCAAAATGTCAGACATGTCATGAAACGGTGTTTGTTTGGAGGACCCAAATGCAGAGACCAGATGGCAGAGGTGAATTAAAGTGGGTTCACGGGTCCAGGGGCAGGAATCAAAGTTCAACAGAAAACAACAAACGCACCTGAAACAAGGAGACATCAGGGGTAAACCAAAACTCTAGGAGCAGGGAGAGACGAGACAAGGCAGGCAGATGTTAGACGAGAGGTTAGACGAGGATCCAGGAAAAAGGAACTGAAGAGGAAGGGCTTTTAAAGGGGACAGAGACAGGGAGAGGGCTAATGAGGAAATTGAAAACAGGTGAGGGCTGAAAAGAGAACAGAGCAAGAGAAAGAGGACACAAGAGGGCAGCACAGGACAACAAATGGAAAACCTGGAAGACAGGAACTAATAAGAAAACAACAACAAAATAATAATCAAATAACTAGGATAAAGAAACATGGTGAAAAGAAAACTAAACACTAGAAATCAAGGAGCAAATCATAACGGCAACAGAAACCTAACAAGACATAGCGTTGAGTTGGAGGCTTTATGAGCCTTTTTAAATTGAAAAAGCTTCCTGCATGGCAAGCAAAACGTCTTCGAACTAGAAAACAAAGTACAGGGTTTTTTTTTTTTTGTTTGTTGGTTTTTTTTGGAATAAAACTAAAATGCACTTAAAAAACAAAAACTTAAGGTAATCCAAATAGAAATCATTAAAGACTTGCTAAAACTCTGTGTCCACAGACACCTTTACTGATACCTATGCAATGTTTGTAATATGATTAAGCTCATTAAAAAAGCAAACAAAAAAACAAAAGAACAGGTCCACTTTTAGATTCCTCTATGTCTATTTTTGATTTGATT